TTCCATTCCTGTAGTGTCTTCACCTGGTTTGGGTATTAGGGTACCCGAAAATGAATTAGGAAGTATTCCCTCAGATATTTTATGGAAGATGTAAAAAACTGGTATAATCTATTACTTAAATTTTTGGTATAATTTACATGTGAACTAATGGCAGATCAGGTGCTTTCTGTTTAAAGGTTATTAATAATTGATTCAATTGCTTTTATAGATATAAGCCTTGTTCATACTATTTCTCCTTCTGTGAGTTTTTAAAGATTGTGTCTTTCAAGGAATTGGTCTGTTTTATCTAAATTATAAAATTTATGGGCATAGAATTATTCATGGTATTCCTTTGTTATCCTTTTAATGTCCTTGGGATCTGTCATGATGACCCTGCTTTCATTTCTGATGTTAGTAATTTGTTTCTACTCCCTTTTTTTCTCAGTTAGCCAGGCTAGAGTCTAGAGTCTTACCAGTTTTATTGATCATTTCAAAGACACAGCTTTTGGTTCTGTTGCTTTTCTCTATTGATTTTCTTTTTCTTTTTTTAAAGATTTTATTTATTTGACAGAGATCACAAGCAGGCAGAGAGTGGGGGTGGGGTGGGGGGAAGCAGGCTCCCTGCTGATCAGAGAGCCAATGCTGGGTTTGATCCCAGGACCCTAGGATCATGACCTGAGCCAAAGGCAGAGGCTTTAATCCACTGAGCCACCCAGGTGCCCCTGTATTGATTTTTCTATTTTTATTTCTTTGATCTCTAATTTTTCTTGTATCTTCTAATTACTTTGAATTTAATTTACTCCTCTCCCCCCTTTTTTTTAAATTTTCCTCAGACAGAAGCTTGGATCGTTGATTTGGAATCTTTCTTCTTTTCTAATGTTTTTCACTGATTTTGTTGTATCTCACAAATCTTGATAAGTTGTATTTTTCATTTTTATTTAGTTCGAAGTATTTTTAAAATTTTTCTTGAGACTTTGTCCTTGACCTGTATGTATATAGAAATGTTGTTTAATCACCAAGTATATTGGGAATGTTCCAGCCATCTTTCTGTTACTGATCTCTGGTTTAATTCTACTGTGTTCTGAGAACATACTTTTTATGATTTCTATTCTTTTTGTTTGTTAAGATGTGTTTTTAGACCCAGGATGTAGTATGTCTTGGCGAATGTCATGTTTTAGCTTAAGAAGAATGTGTATTCTCTTGTTGGATAAAATCTTCTGTAAATGCCAGTTGATGGCTGGTGCTGTTCAGTCCAACTGTGTACCTACCAATGTTTTGCCAATCTGTAAGATCTGTTGGATCTGTCTACTGACAGAGGGGTTTTGAAATCTCCAACTGAAATAGTGGATTCATCTATTTCTTTGTACAGCTCTATCTGTTTTTGTATCATGTATTTTGATGTTCTGTCGTTAGGCACTTACACATTAAGGATCATTGTGTGCCAGGAGAATTGACCCCTTTATTATTATGTGATGCTTCTTTTTACCCCTTATATTTTCCTTTGGTATGAAGTCTGCTTTGTCTGAAATTAATATAGCTACACCAGCTTTCTTTTGATTTATGTTAGCATGGTACGCCTCTATCCATTTACCTTTCATTTATCTGTGTCTTTATATTTAAAGTGGGCTTCTTATAGATGACATATACTTGTTGTGTCTTTCTTTCTCTCTGTCTCTTTCTTCAGTCTTCTAGTCTTTTTCTGCCATCTCTGGCTCTAAGCGATCCTGTTATGTGACTGGAACTTTTCTTCTGTCTGAGCATAGCAGGTGAACTTTTTTTTTTTTTTTTACTTTTGTAAGTGATTGTCCTTGAGTTTGCAATTACCTTGATCAATAATCTAAGTCTGCTTTCAAATAGCTCTGTACCACCACATGGGTAGGGAGAGTTCCTTGTAAGAGAGTTTCCAGTCCCTTCCTCCTATTCTCTATAATGTTTCTGTCATTCATTTCAATTATTCATAAGCTGTACTCACTACGTATAGTGCTGCTACTGTGATGCTGAACATATATGTTAGATCAGTTAAGATTTAAAAAAACAAAGTATTTTGTTTTATCCCCATATATTCCTTTTCTAATGCTCTTACTTTTTTGTGTACATCTGTGCTTATTTATAACCTGTATCATTTTCCTCCTTTCTGAAGAACATGTAACATTTCTTGCAAGGCAGATCTCACTGATTTCCTCAATTTTTGTTAATCTGAGAAAGTCTTTATTTTCCCCTTACCTCTGAAGGTTAATTTGTCTTAATACAGAATTCTAGGTTGGTGAGTTTTTTCCTCTTGATACTTTAAATATTTCATTCCATTGTCTTGTTTTGTGCAGGGTTTCTAAAGAAAACCCTGATTTCTGATTGTCTTTGATTTTCTGCAGTTTGACTACTTTAAATACTTTAAATATTTCATTCCATTGTCTTGTTTTGTGCAGGGTTTCTAAAGAAAACCCTGATTTCTGTTTGTCTTTGATTTTCTGCAGTTTGACTATGATCTAGTATAGATTTTTTTGGTTTATTTTATAGTGCTTGGTGTTCTCTGGGCTTCCTGGGTCTGTGGTTTGGTGGTTATGATTTTGGAAAATTCTCAGTCCTTATTGCTTCAAATATTCCTTCTTGTCCTTTCTCTTTTTGTCACCTTTTATAATTGTCCCACATTTCTTAGATATTCTGTTCTTTTTCATTCTTTTTTCTCCTTGCATTTTAGTTTGGGAAATTTCTATTGGCAGTTCTTTAAGTCCCTGATTCTTTTCTTGGTTGTGTCAGTCTATTCATGAGCCCATCAAAGGCATTCATCATTTTTATTATGGTGCTTTTCATTTCCAGCACTTTGAATCTTTCTTAAAGTTTCCATTTCTGCTTATATTTCCTGTCGGTCCTTTTGTGCGGTCCACTTTTTCATTAGATGTTTTAACATATTAATTATAATTACTTTAAACTCCCAATCTGATAATTCTAGCATTGCTGCCATATTCAAGTCTGGTTCTGTGCTTGCTTTGTCTCTTTAAACTGTGCTTTAAGTCTTTTAGTGTGCTTTCTAATTTTGTGCTGAATGCTGGCCACGAGGTGGTGGGTAAAAGAAACTGTTTAGTGTGTGATACTATGTTTATTGTGGTAGAACTTAGGCTGTGTTTACTGTTTGGTGTTACTGCAGTTGTCAGAGGCTAAATTTCCTTTAGTGCCTGCTTTATGTCTCCCCCCCGGTGGTGGGTGTGGGAGTAGGGGAAGCATTTTATAGTCCTATGACTAGGTCTCAGTCTTTTAGGGAGCCTGTGCCGGTTAACTTTGACCTTCACAATTGCTTCTCAGTCACCCTGTCACGGGAAGTGAGGTGGGAAGGCCGCAGGGAGCTGGAATTGGGTATTTCCCTTCCCTTCCCTTCCCTTCCTGAAGGCAGAGCAGCTATGTCGTGAAAAACCCCAGCTATTTAGGCTCTGGTAAAATATTTTCTCTTGAGGCAGGCCTTTTTAAGAACAGAAATGCTTTGGGCATTTTTAAATGCTCAAAGAGGAAATGCCCAAGAGGAAGCTTGAAGGGATTTTTCTCTAGTCTTTGCTGTAAGAACCTGGTAGTATCCCTAGAGATAAAACTCACAGAAGTGTAGGAAGCCCCTTAAGATGGTCCTTCTGGAGTATTTAACCCTCAAACTTGTCAACCCTGAGCTTCCAATTACATTTTACCTTTTCCTTGCCAGCACTAGTTCCCCTGGCTGCTCGGGTAGGTTGTGATTCTCAGGAACACCTGCCTGTCTCTCCAGTTTGGGGGATGGCACTTTTCCCTGTGACCTCAGTTCTCTTACGGATTTAAGAAGAGTGGTTGTGGGACACCTGGGCGGCTTAGTCGGTTAAGCCACTGCCTTTGGCTGAGGTCATGATTCCAGGGTCCTGGGATCGAGCCCTACGTGGGACTCCTTGCTCAGTGGGGAGCCTGCTTCTCTCTCTGCCTCTGCCTGCCACTCTGCCTGCTTGTGCTACTCTCTCTCTCTCTCTCTGACAAATAAATAAATAAATAAATACAATCTTTAAAAAAAAAAAACAACAAAAAAGAAGGGTGGTTTATTTTTTGGTGTGTTCAGCTTTTCTCTTGCGAATGATGTCTTCCAAGCTCATTAGATTCCACTCCCAAAATTGGAAGCCTGCGATATTTTTTTTTAAAATAAAGTTTTCAATTATAGACTTGAGTTTTGGCTTTTTTCTGGATAAAATGATTGAAATGGAACTTGCATATATTGCTTAATCGTTTTTCATTACACTGGTAATGAAGTATTGTGCCATCAATGTATTGATTTTTTTTTTACCTTTTTTCAGAGAGTGAGATGCCGTTCGATAGCTATTCTAATTGTTATGTATTATAATCCCTTATCTGATGCTTGCAAAGCCAGGAAAGCACTCTTTTAGAACTCTCCACTAACTGTCTCAGTCATAATTTCCTTCCATCTGGCTACCAGTTGTGGATAAATACTCTGTTTCCATGCCTGTCTCAGAATCCTCTGTTGTCCCTTTAACCCTCTGTTAGGTTCATCAAGTTGTTGGCATTTGAGCAGGAATAATAATATATCTCACTTTATTGTTTAAAAGTCTATGTTATTCGGGGTGCCTGGGTGGCTCAGTGGGTTGGTCCTCTGCCTTTGGCTCTGGTCATGATCCCAGGACCTTGGGACCATGACCTGAGCTGAAGGCAGAGGCTTAACCCACTGAGCCACCCAGGCGCCCCAAGTCTACCTTATTCTTAAAAGTCTTTTAGATAACCCCTTTAATTAAGTCTTTCCAGTAGCCTACCAAAAAAACTGTCATAACCACACATGTCTGTGATGTGGCCATTAGCAGACTTTTTACTATATTCCCCAGTCTTCTTTTTGTTTGTTAGCTCATGTTTGAGTTGCTTTATTTGTCTAACTGTAATTACAATATTTCAGAAAGTGGATGGAGAGCGTGTTTCCCGTGCTTTGTATCATGTTGGATCACGTAGTAATCAGCGATTAAACTGCTTCAAAATGCTTAATGTAGTTGGTATTTTTGTTTCCGCTTTTACAGGAGGAACTCTCTGGAATGAAAAATAGGGTTCAAGTAGTTGTGCTTGAAAATGAAAGGCTCCAACAAGAGCTGAAATCTCAGAGACAACAGGAAGCAATGAGGGAACAAACACTTCTGGATGCATCTGTGAGCACTTTTTTTCAAACCATAAATTATATTTTAGTTTGAATGTTCCATCCTACCCTCTCCCCCAGCCTTCCAAACTGCTGAAATTCTTGACTTGACGTTTGGCAAATGAACTGTGCTGTGACTCACTTGGGGCCTCGGAAGTTAAATTCACATGGTGGAGTGACCCCTCAGACACAGGGACGCAGGGACACTGAGTATCTGTGCTGATTTCCTCTCCGAACGCACCTGCTGCGCACGTTTTGCCCATACGGAAAGAGCAAGTTCAAAGTAGGAAGCAGATCATGTAAGGAAGGACTTGGTTAAATCCAGAAACTTTGTAACTGTAGCTTAGATTTCTGTTGTAGGTCTCGAAATTTTCCTTGCCCTCTGCATCCTAATAAGTCTAATTGGCACCATGGGGCAGCAGAGAGAGTGCGGGCCCAGGTCCCGGGATCAGCATGTTCGTTTCCCGTCGTCCCTGACAAGCTGGGTGTTACACGAGTAATGTTATGTGGCTTTCAAATGTGACTTTACCTCTTGTGTCCTCTGATTATTGGCAGTTTGAGAAGATTCACCTATATTAGCTGTTCTTAATCTTTTTTTTAAAAAAGATTTTATTTATTTACTTGATAGAGATCTCAAGTAGGCAGAGAGGCAGGCAGAGAGAGAGAGGAGGAAGCAGGCTCCCTACTGAGCAGAGACCCCGATGCGGGGCTCGATCCCAGGACCCTGAGACCATGACCTGAGCCCAAGGCAGAGGCTTTAACCCACTGAGCCACCCAGGTGCCCTAGCTGTTCTTAATCTTTTTTTTTTTTTTTAATATTTTATTTATTTATTTGACAAACAGAGAGAAATCACAAGTAGGCAGAGAGGCAGGCAGAGAGAGAGGGGGAAGCAGGCTCCCCACTGAGCAGAGAGCCCAATGTGGGGCTTGATCCCAGGACTCTGGGATTATGACCTGAGCTGAAGGCAGGGGCTTAACCCACTGAGCCACCCAGGCGCCCCTGTTCTTAATCTTTAATATGAGTAACAATCACTTGGGATACTTGCTGGCCATACAATTCCTGAGCTCTCCTCCCCTGAGAGTCTGATTCATTGAGGTTGAGTTCTTGGGTTGAGTTCTTGAGTTAAAAACACGAATTTTTAACAAGTTGCCTAAAAGATTCTAGTATGACTGCACCACATTTTTTTTAATCCACGTGCCACATTTTGAAGAACAGTGGAGTCCGTGATGTCCATAACTGTACGGCACAAAATTCTTGTGATGACATTTAAGTAGTGTTTAAATTTAGTATCTCCTTGTGACTGGTCAGAGATACTATTGCCTTAAAAATGTTATTTACTCTTTTGCTATAGGACACTGTTAATCATAGCTTGTTTTGCCTTTTGAAACAAACTCAGTGTTCCATGAGGAAGTGTTAATACTTGCCTCCTGCGGCTTTACTTTATAATGGGTTTGGTGACTTTGACCTGGTTGTCATTTGGTAAATCAGTTGTCTCCATGTTTTACCTAGGTGTTCTCTAATGTTTTATTTTGAAGTGTTTTTTTATTGACCTGACCTATGTCTCATTTGTAATCCTTGAGTTCTCTGTTAGAATTTCCTATTTAGAAGTAGCTGATTGTGTTAAATCTGAATGGCAAATTGGGCTTCTCTGTATTTCAGTTGATTTTTCTGCAGTATATTTCAGTTTGTGTCCAGCTTCTCTCCCTTCACCAGAAGAGTGTTTTCTGAATATTTATATTATTATTTATTATCAATGTTAGAATTTAAAAATTCCATCTTAGTTGCTTATTATTTTAATGTCCGTTTGAAGACGATAGAGCCATATAAAAAGTACTTGGAAGTAGCTCGTTTTAAAAATATATTCTTTTGCTTTTCTTCCAAATAAGCAGTCACTTAGCAAACAGTGACTCGATTATTCATAGACGTTGGTATTTGTACAATGACAAAGAAGTGGAAGAAGGGGAAGTGAAGTGAGAAAGGAAATTAGGCAGAGAAGTGAACCAGAGGGCGAGAGAAGTGAGTAACGCAGAAGGGGAAGGAAGCAACGTACAAGCACACATGCTTTGCCTTAGGAACAAAGGAAACTTGCTGAAGAAATTTACAGCCATAGTTATGGAAAAAACAAAGTTGTAGAGTGTTTCTTTTTTTTTTTTCTTTTTTTTTAAATTCACATGAACTAAAACATAATGCAAACAATCAAAATGATTGTTGCACATGGGTTAGGAGATCTCCATATCTATTTTAATGTTGGTCTAATGTGTTATTTTGTTGTTATGGAATTACTACTGTTGCTTTTTGCTTGTGTAGGTGAATTGAGGCATTTCAGCAACGTATGCTTGGTACACCCTGTTCAGAATTTTAATGTAAATGAAACTTTTCAGAATATCTTAAATACAAACACATCAAGAGGCATTATCTTTTTTTTTTTCCTGAACTCTTTTTTACTGAGCCTATTACCATGCTGATGGTAGATCTTGCCAAAGCTGTTGGTGGATTTGAGTATAGATTTTCAGTATTTCTTAATGCCTTCTTTTGAAAAATAATTAAAATAGTTAGATAGTCATGATTAATATTTACTGATGACTACATGTTATGATGTGGCAGCCACTCTGTCAAGTACTTTATTTATATTCAATTATTTCAGGTTTATAGTAGCAAAGGAAGGCAGGTGTTATTCTCTTTTCAGGTGAGTAAATTAAGGTACAGCGTGGTTAAGTAAACAGAGCAAGACTGCTAATGTCACAGAGCTAGAAAATGGCAAAGCTAGGATTCAAACATGGGGCTGTCTGACTCCCACATCCATCTGTCTAGCCTTGAGTTATACTGTCTTTCTGCATAAGTTAGGAATAGCTTGTCACTATTGAACCAAACTACCTTTGTTTGCCATGGGATAGAAGATTATCCCCAGAAGAGGGGAATGTCCTCTTTATTGTTCCTGAATTTTAGCCTTAGACTTGGATGGAAGCCTACATGATGTTTAGCACTTAGCCTACTTTATGACCCAGTGGTTGAAGAAACACACAGGTTATTTTTTAAAAACTACCACCATTTCCATCTTCATTTTTTATCATTCCATGAAATTTCTCTTCATGGAGAGCTTTTCTCCTGAGTTCAAACAATTATAATAATATTAAATATGCTATTTATTAGAAATTTGGAGGGTACCTGGGTGGCATAGTCTGTTGAATGTCCAGCTCTTGGATTCAGCTCAGATCATGACCTCTGAGTTGTGGGATCGAGCCCCAAGTTGGGCTCTGTGCTCTATATGGAGTCTGCTTGTGACTCACTTTGCCCCCTCCCTGCCCTCAGATAAATTAATCTTAAAAAAGGAAGGAAGAAAGAAAGAAAGAGAGAGAAAGAAAGAAATTTTGGCATGCATAAGCATTCAAAAGATCTAGGAGGTTTATTTATTTATTTATTTTAAGATTTTATCTATTTATTTGACAGATGGAGATCACAAGTAGGCAGAGAGGCAGGCAGAGAGGAGGAAGCAGGCTCGCTGCCGAGCAGAGAGCCCAACGTGGGGCTCGATCCCAGGACCTTGGGATCATGACCTGAGCTGAAGGCATAGGCTTTAACCCACAGAGCCACCCAGGCACCCCTCTAGGAGATTTTTTTAAAAGCAGAACATTTCCGAGTCATTTCTTTCCCTGTCTACTTTCATCCCCTCACTATCATCACTCCCCTCAATTAAGAAATCAGGTTTTCAGTGATCTCCAGGGATGTAAATGTAATTAGATTTTTAAAATTTTGGTCAAATACCATTCACATTCCTAAATGTTATCTGTGAAAGGACGTTCCAATTAGACTATCAGTTCTTTTCAAAGAATGACATTATTTTATATCATAAGTCAGCGATCTGTGGTGTATGTACTTTTTCCAATTTCATTACAGGAAATTAGTGCTCCTGTTCTTCATAATTCTCTAAGGCAACTTTGAATGCACTCAGATCTTGAGCAATTTGTCCTTACCTACAAAATCAAGTTCAAACTTGTTATACCATGTTTTCTAGACCCTTATTTGACTCTCTAGCTTAACATTTTGATATCCTTTGTTTTGTGCTTCAATATTTAGTAATTCTGAGTTGTGTGAGTCTCCTGTAGGCACCAGACTTTTTCACACGTCTGTTACTTTCCCTGTAATGTTTTCTTTCTGGCATGCTCTTCTCATCTAGCTCACTCTTTCTTATCCAAGATACCACACCAGTGTCAACACGTCCCCAGAAAACCTTCCTTGAATCTCTGGTTGTTCTTAGTGCCCCTCCTTTCTTTTTACATAGTTCCCCGTGCACATCTCTGGCCTAGCACTTACCTTATTAAATTGAAATTATCTGCTTAGGAGTTTGTCTTGAGGATAAGATTGGTCTTGCTCATTGTGACCCTCCAAGCTCTTAGCACAGTGCCTAACCATAGGAAGTATCATACACAAATATTTGCATTAAACTGAACTTCCAGAAGAATATGGAATAGGCCGTCAGAATACTACTTGGGATGAATGAGTTTAGCTCATTCTGGTATGATATGACACTGCAGTATAGTTCTGTGTTTGGGACCTGTCCTCTCTTGTGAGTACTACAATATCCTTTGGTCCTTAGCAAGAGTTCAGTGATTGTTTGTTGAATGATATTATTAATATTTCAGTCCTTGTACACGCAAATTACCCAGATCTTTGGGCTGCATAGTTCACTGAATGTTGAGAGGGTCCCTCCCGGAGGTACAGACACAAGGGGTACATATCAGATGTGGTCTATAGGCATGTTTGGTTTGTTTGACAAACTATGAACCAGTATTTAACAGTGTTTCAAATGAAAAACCAGACATCTGGCTTATCTTTTAAAAAATCAGAAGATTTTTTTTTATGATCTGAGTTTGCATTCACTCATGGCAAAAGTTGCCTGGAGCTGAGTCGTGGCTGCAAGTTCTGGATCATTTGTCATGTCCCTATCCCTCCTTTGTGAGTCCCTGACATGAAGGCTAGGTGTCAGTGCCGTTTATCTCCATGCACTATTTTTCTTATTGAAGATAAACATTTTTCTGAAACGGCAGGAGAGCATAGTGGTTTGGGGCATGGACTGGGGAACTAGATTGCCAAGGTTCGCATCTTGGCTCTGCTGCTTATTAGCTACTTCCTACCTCTGTGACTCTTACAAGTCACTCAGTGTGACTCAGTTTCCTCTTTTAAAAGATTATTTATTTTAGAGAGCGAGAAGAATGCATGAAAGAGTAATGTGGGGGGCGGGCAGTGGGAGAGGGAGGGGAATCTCAAACAGACTCCCCACTGAGCCTGAAGCCCAATAGGGAAAGGTGGAAAATGAGACCAGGAGAGGGCTGTGTGTTTTAAGAATGTATGTCTCCAGAGAAGTAAGAGAGGAGTTCATTTGCTGAAATACTGGCAGGCAGCCCTCTTTGCTCATTTACGTTATTGCCTGTGCCCGTAGGAATCTGACTTTGTAACACTTGTGGAATATGACCCTAATAGCCTGAAAACGTAAAATCATTTTGATGTGTAGCTTGGAAGCATCTGCTCTTGAATTCGTTCCATCACAGATGAGAATCAGTGTCCATTTGTGAAACATGCGTGTTGACTTAAAGCTAAATGCCGGTTGTAATTATTCCTACATTTTATTTTAGGGAAACCTGCAGAATTCTTGGGTTACAACAGGTGACGGCTCTGGGATGAATGAAGGTGCCAAGAGGCGATTCTCCCAGGGCAATGCAGATGCAGTCAAAGGTCCATCGGCTGGTGAGGCTGAGAAATGGAAGCTAGAACTGGTGAGAATTTGGCTGCTTTTCTCTTATGCATCTACTTTTTTGTACTTTTTCTATTGTGGAAAATACACATGCCATTAAATTTAGCGTTTTTGCCCTTTTAAAATTTACAGTATGTGTATTTTTTTGTGTCTGGCTTATTTTGTTCAACCTTCCATTTGTTAGATTTTTACCCATTATTGCATATGGCAGAACTTTGTTCGTTTTCACTGGTGTATATACTGTATATATACACTACAATTCATTTATCCTTTCTACCATTGATGGATTTTTGTGTCGTGTCCTGTTTGGGGCTATTGTGAATATTGCTGCTATGGACATTCTTTCAGATGTCTGTTGGTGTGCATGACACGCATTTACGTCGGGTGTGTACCTCAGAGTGGAATTGTCAGTCTTGGGATATGTGTATGTTCAGATTGAGCGGTTAGGGTGAGCTTTTCGGGTGGTTTTTATCAGCTTACACTTGTACAGCAGTACAGGAGTGATACCATTGGTCCATATTCCCACTGACATATTTTATTGTCCGTTTTTCTAGTGGGCTTGTAGTGCTGTCTCATTGTGATTGTCATTTGCATTTCTCTGATTACTCCTGAGATTGAATCTCTTTTCATGTATTTATCAGTGTCCTACTATGTGTTCAAAATCCTACCCATTATTTTGAGTTATTTGACTTTTTTTTTAAACTTCTTTTTGTATTCTGGATATAAGCCCTTTGTTGATTGTATCTTTGATAAATATATTTTCCTCACTCTATGGCTTGCCTTATAATTGTCCTGATAGTTTTCTTTCTTTCTCTCTTTTTTCATTCTTCATGACTAAAATTTCTTAAATTTTTTTTTAAGATTTTATTTATTTGACAGAAAGAGACACAGTGAGAGAGGGAACACAGGCGGGGGAGTGGGAGAGGGAGAAGCAGGCTTCCCGCTGAGCATGGAGCCCAACGTGGGTCTTGCTCCCAGGACCCTGAGATCATGACCCGAGCTGAAGGCAGACACTCAATGACTGAGCCACCCAGGCGCCCCTAAAATTTCTTAATTTTAATGTAATCTACAGTTTTCCCCCTTTATTGTTTAGTACTTTCTGTATCCTATATCAAAAGTGTTTCCCTGCCCCAGGTCTTAAAGCTATTCTCTTGTATTCTTGCTTTTAACATTTAAATCTACAATCTACCAGTCTTTATTTTGTATATGACGTGTTACATAGGGGATCATATTTTGTTCTTTTCCCACATGTTTATGTATGTATATCCCAGTAGCATTTGTCAAAAAAACAGCCCTTTGTCTGTATCCTTGTCATAAATCAGGTGTACATATATGTCTGGGCTCTGTGTTTTATTTCTTTGGTCTTTGTGCTACTACCATCCTGTCTAGATTGTTAGAGGTCTATACCTGGTGGTCCACATATCACATCTTCCAACATTGTACTTTGTCCTTAAGAGTGTCTCATTCCTGAAGGCACCTGGGTGGGGGGTGCAGTCGGTTGAATGTCTGACTCTTGGTTTGGGCTCCGGTTCTGTTCTCAGGGCTGTGAGATCGAGCCCCATGTCAGGTTCTGCACTCAGCCTGGAGTCTCCTTGAGATTCTCTTTCCCTCTCCTGCCTCTCCCACTCATGCTTGCTCACCTCACCTCTCTAAAATAAATAAGTCTTTTTTAAAAATTTTTTTTCATTTTTCATTTTTATTTTTTAGTTTACTGGACAGACAGAGATCACAAGTAGGCAGAGAGGCAGGCAGAGAGAGAGAGGGAGAGGCAGGCTCCCCGCTGAGCAGAGAGTCCGATGTGGGGCTCGATCCCAGGACCCTGTGATCATGACCTGAGCAGAAGACAGAGGCCTGGCCTTTTGTATTTCCAAATACATTTTAGAATTAATTTGTCAAGTTCCAGAAGGCCATTATGAGGCTTTGATTGAGATTGTCCTTAAACTATGTCACCAGGGGGAGAAGAGATCTTTATTTATTTATTTTTAAAGATTTTATTTATTTATTTGTCAGAAAGAGAGAGGAAGAGAGAGAGCCCAAGCAGGGGTAGCAGCAGGCAGAGAGAAGAGCCTGATGGCAGGACTCGATCCCAGGACCATAGCCTGACATGAAGACAGACACTTAAAGGATGAGCCACCCAGGTGTCCTGAAAATAGCTTGATGATATTATATCATCTGGTCCTTTATTTATTTATTTATTTATTTTTTTGAAGATTCTGTTTATTTATTTGAGAGAAAGAGAGCACAAGTAGGGGTGGGTAGGGGCATATCTCTTCCCTATATAGATGCAGTGCACCTCATTGGTCTTCCCTATTCCGCACTTCAGAGTGACTTCAGATTCAAATCCGGTCAAGTTTTCAATGTCCACCCAATGCCTCTGCTACATGGAGATTTCATGAGTTGTCTGGGTAAAGGTCTTGTATATTTTTTCTCCTCATGACCCATTCTCACCTATTCACCCGTTTCTATCCATTTTTCTATCTAGCACTGGATCCGTGAGTGGATACTGACCCACTCCCCGGCCAAACAGGCAGCTTGTTTTCTCCAGCCTCTGCGCCTTGTGCGCTGTTGGAAGTTAATCCTTTAAGTATTAACGCTTCTTCCAGGAAGCCTTCTTCATCTCTCGTAAGCTGAATTATAAGTTCCTGCATCTCTGATTTCAGTATACCTTCTATATATCTCCCTGGAGTGAATTATATATAATCAAAATTGTCCCGTGTTTTTCTATTCCTTCCAAGAATATAAGCTCCTGGGTGAAAGACATCTTCATCTCAGATACACTATAAATATTTGTTGAATGAAAGAACAGTGGGATGCCAGCAGCCCCTCGTAGCTAGGACATCCATTTGGTCTGTCATTTATTGTGATTTATAACTTTTCTTTTATCACTGATCCAGCCCTCATTTATTGTATGTCAATACCCAGCAGTCACAGTGGGGGATTCCAGTAAGGTTTGATCCTGGCCCTCATGGACCTTATAGGTTAAAATTGGTTTTTCTTGGGACGCCTGGGTGGCTCAGTTGGTTAAGCCCCTGCCTTTGGCTCAGGTCATGATCCCAGGGTCCTGGGATCGAGTCCTGCTTCGGGCTCCTTGCTCGGCGGGGAGTCTGCTTCTCTCGCTGCCTCTGCCAGCCTCTCTGCCTGCTTGTGTGTACTCTCTCTCTCTCTCTCTCTCTGGCAAATAAATAAAATCTTTAAAATAAAATAAAATAGGTTTTTCTCAGAATCATACTTTTAGAAGTAAGATCTAATATATGCATTTTTGAAAAAAATTGACGGGGAGGGCAGTAATAACCATTTTATGACTCAGTCCACAAAGAGTGGGTACTCAGTAAAAGTACAAAATTTTGGGTGAACTAGGGAAAGTGTTTCTTGAGAGGACACATTATTTTTCTTCTTGGGTAAAAGGACAAAAATTGAGGTTAATAATAATTAAAACTTGCTGATGAAGCGCAGAGCATGGAGAAAATGTACACTTTTTTTTTTCTTTTCTAAAGGAGAGGTTAAAACTTACTTATGAAGAAAAAGGTGAGATCCTGGAATCGCAATTGAAAATTTTGAGGTAAAGTATCATTAAAAATTATAGCAAAAATTATAGCAAAATTATAGCAAAAGCACAATGATCTTAAAATATATTTGGGGCGCCTGGGTGGCTCAGTGGGTTAAGCCGCTGCCTTCGGCCCAGGTCGTGATCTCGGGGTCCTGAGATCGAGTCCCACATCGGGCTCTCTGCTCGGCAGGAAGTCTGCTTCCCTCTCTCTCTCTGCCTGCCTCTCCGTCTACTTGTGATCTCTCTCTGTCAAATAAATAAATAACATCTTTAAAATATATATATATATATATATATATATATATATATATATTTGAATGTTTGCTGACCTGCCAGTTCTACTCAACTTAAGAATTACTTGATGACATTTTATGTTCGAGTTAAGAAATATCCTCAGGTTATCAAAGGAACAGGGGCATCAAATTATGAAGTCCCATTTCAAAGAACTGTGAGCTAAATTAAAAATTTTATCCCTTCATCAGTTATGAAATATTTATGTTTTCTCATAGAAATAAGAATCACTAGCTGCTCTGATAGAAATTATGCTTTTAAAATAAAATACTGAAAATAAACTTCCTAGTTTTCGAATTACAAACAAGTATTTTTTTCCTCTATAGATTTTTTTAAAAATATTTTATTTATTTGACAGAGAGAGAGATCACAAGTAGAGAGAGAGAGAGGAGGAAGCAGGCTCCCTGCCTAGCAGAGAGCCCGATGTGGGACTCGATCCCAGGACCCTGAGATCATGACCTGAGCTGAAGGCAGAGGCTTAACCCACTGAGCCACCCAGGCAGCCCCTCTATAGATATTTTTATCTAACTTTTAAAGTTGTAACAATAATAGTTTGAGTATTTTTCTATATGTGAAGAATATGTATATACTAGTCTTCCTTTCTCTATGCGGGATATGTTCCAGGACCCTCAGCGGATGCCTGAAATTGTGGATAGTACTGAACCTTATATGTATTGTTTTTTCATGTATATATATATACCTATGTATCTTAAGGTAAAGTTTAATTTAGTAAGAGATTAGGCACAGTAAGAGATTAACAGCAATAACTAATAATAAAATAGAATAGTTATAACAATATACTGTAATAAGGATTATGGGAATGTGGTGTCTCAAGATATTGTCTTGTCTGTACTGATCCTCCTCGAGGTGGTGTGATGAGATGAAGTGGGGGGAATGATGTTTGCATTGTGACGCATCGTTAGGCTGCCACTGACCTTCCAGTGGTCCGTCAGAAGGAGGATCATCTCCTTTTGGACCTCGGTTGTCCTTGTATAACTCAAATCATGGAATGGGAAACTGTGGTTTGGGGAGGACTTCTATATACACATTAAAGTTTCATGTACTTTCTGACATTTTTTTAGAAGTCTCAATAAGGACTATAGATTATAGATTAACGATTAGTGATTTATTATATACTGTAGGCAGGAAAAGATAGCAGGAATTGATTTTTTGGGGGTGTTAAAGCTTATTTTAAAAAATGGCTGTGAAATATATTTCAACCAAATAAACTTTAAAGTTCTTTTTATAGTTTTAGTAAGTTCTAATTTGCTCTAAAATATAAAATCTTTAGGCCACATATTGTTTGGAGACATAAGCAGAGTCATACCTAGAACCAGAACTCATGGCTTTCATGCACATTATCATTCATTTTTTAATACGCTCTTATACACTTTATACCTTAGCCTGATTAGTTTTAGGATTTCTATAGAGACTTTTATTTTTTAATGAAGAAACCTAACATATAAAGTGACCTAATATTTACTTTCTTGCTTTTTATCTCTCTTTATTATATTTTTATTTCTGTTGTGTTTCGATTCTTCAGTTTTTGTTTTGTTTCTTAGAGACGGAGAGCACGAGGGAGGACAAGCGGGGCGGGGGGGCAGAGGGAGAGAGAGGATCTGAAGCAGATTCCATGCTGAACATGGAGCTGGACACAGGGCTCAGTCCCACAGCCCTGGGATCGTGACCTGAGCCAAAGTCAAGAGTCAGTTGCTTCACCAACTGAGCCACCCAAATGCCCTAATTCTTCATTTTTTAAAGTAATGGCAATGTGACTTATTTTGTCTCGTTCAAGAGTCAAATGTGCCATCTTTAACATTAAAATACTGCTTTGCAATGAAGTAGACTTTGTTCCCTGAACCTTCTACTTCTCCCTTTTCCCTTTAGTATACCTTAAGATTATTTAAAGAGTCATTTTCTTTAAGAAGGAGAGAAAACCACCATTCTCAGAAACTCTGGCTTTCTGGTATCTCTTTCTTTTTTCTTTTTTTTTTTTTTTTCTTTTTTTCTTTCTTTCTTTCTTTTTCTTTTTTTTTTTTTTTTTACCATTTCAAGTAATCAAATCTACCTAAGGGTTTTGAATTTGAAACTGACAGAAATAATAATGGAGACCCTTTGATCTTGGAATGTGCTTCCAAAGTTCTTTTTACAAAGTCTTTGAAAGTCAGACTTTTTCTTTATGGTATTTAAGAAGAAAACTTACTACATTGAAGATATTATCTTGGACATAGGGCAAAATGGCTCCCCCCCCTACTTCAGACAGTGGTTAGATTAGCTTTTTTAACCCTTAGATTGCTTGCAGATCTCTCCTCCCTCCTCAAGGCTGCCTGAGAGCCCCCACTTCCCAGAGTGGAGGTCGTGTGTGATAGCCAGGCGTCTGGATTATTGGCCTCTCTTCTGTGATAGCAAGTTAAGATAGCTACAGCCCCCGAGTGTGATAGGAATTGACAACAGAGTTGACTGAGCTGAAGACAAAGTCTCTGCTTTCAGTAGTCCAAGCACTTAAGGGCTATCTTCTCCTTTGTAAGCTAGGAAGTTTTTAAAAATATATATAATATACAGTAGGAAAGGAATGTCTGTGCAAGGAAGCTCAGTTGTCCCAGCTGACTTTACCAAAGCTTTACTTAGGGCGGGGTGGGGGAGGGTGTGTGTGCAGGAATAGAACCCATACACTGGTTGTTTTATCCCTAAAAAGTCAGTGTGGAGAACCTCATCGACTATCTCATACAGTAAAACAAAGTAAATACACACACACACACTTCCTCAGCACCCCCCCCTTTTTTTTAGCAAACTGCATATTCCCAGCTAATAGCTGCTACTTATAAATCTTTATGACTGCTAAATTTTCTATAACTTCTTTCTAGAAGAAGAGAGAAGCCCACTTGCTTTGGAAATAGCTCTTTATAGAACTTTGTGGTTAGATAATCTTTTAGTTTTTTCTTTCCTCCTAAAGAAGATTAGGCAACAATAAATGACTCATGAATGAAATCCATGAGCTTCTAAGGCACTATGCACATTTAAGGGTTAACACTTGGAATAGGATATTTTCCTCAACTCAAAGATGTTGTGTTACGATACCTGGCCTTTTTATTAAGAGAAATGACTTAGGATTTGTACTTGGAGTTTTATTTTTGGTCAGTGAATAATATTACATAATGGAGATGGAGCCTTTGAAAAGAGCTGGTATCAAGAGGCAGACTAATCTGTGTTAAAATCTTACAAGAACTTGGGCTAATTATTTCATATATTCAAGCCTCATTTTACTCAAAGTGTCAATTAGGATAATCACACATTTCAGGGTTGTGGTAAGAATTAATTAGATTTTGTATACAGAGCATCTCATAAAGTAAGCAACCAGAAGTGATAGTAGCAGTTATCTGTGGGGTGATACAGGTGACAGTAGTGTACATGGTCATTTGCTAGAATTTTCTTTCCCTTCTTTTCAGGAAAGACCTAGCTGAGTATCAGAAAAATTGTGAAGATCTTAAGGAGCGACTAAAGCATAAAGAGTCTCTTCTCGCTGCTAATATGTCTAACCGTGTGGGTGGCCTTTGTTTGAAATGTGCTCAGCATGAAGCTGTTCTCTCCCAAACCCATAGTAACGTTCACGTGCAGACCATTGAGAGACTGACCAAGTAAGTACGCCTCTCCACACAGAGGCTTTGCAACATGGAAAACTGTGTCTTTAAAGGATCATTGTTTTCTTTTATCCCTGTGCTGCCTCACGTGGGATTGATGCACAGCTTCAAATAAAATAGATTTTATTTTATTTCCCTGGAGCTTTCTTGAAGACAGGTGGGTGCTACCAGCTGTGTGTGACCAGCTCACTGGCAAGTCATTTTACTTCTCTTGGACTCGGTCTCATCTCGAATTGAGAGAATTGAAGTAGATAATCTCTGTGGTTCTGATCATGTCTACGAGTCTATAATTGCAAATCCAGCACTCTTTGTAACAAAACTGAATTTGAGAGGAATTCTTCTTTTCAATATCTTTTATTTAGGTATCTGAGAGAGAGAACAAGGAGCATGAGCGGGGGTGGGGGCAGAGGGAGAGGGAGAAGCAGTCTCCCCGCTGAGCCGGGAGCCCGATGTGGGACTCGATCCCAGGACCCTGAGATCATGACCTGAGCCAAAGGCAGACACTTAACTGACTGAGCCACCCAGGTGCCCCTGAGAGGAATTATTTTGATTTTTTCACATCTTGGATTTCCCAGCGGAAGGCTAGGTGGGGTGAGTTTTTATCACATCTTCATCACGTGCCTGCCATGAGGAATATTGCGAGTGTATTGGAGGAAGGACCCTTAGATCCATGATCAGTATTTGAAGATGACTAAGGACAAGTTCCAGATGAGCTTTTGTACAGTCCACGTTTTCATCTAGGCTGAAATACTGCGGTTCTCTGTCTGCCTCTTTTTTGTTCTATCTTCACTGCTCCCGGGACACCTTTTCCTGAGAGAAGATTTTCCTGTGGAATTGGAGAATTGTTATTTAAGACGCCATCCAGTGGTGGTTCATAGTGTGTGTTCTCCCGGGCCCCCTCCTCTTCTTGTGCTAAAGGTCTCCCCTCTCTGCTTGTTGGGGCTCATTTAAACAGCCCAGACATCACCGCCTCCAAAAGTATTCTCTTGCCAGCCTCACCCCATCCTGTGCTCAATCGAATTAGGCTTCTTCCTTCTATGAATTTATAATACATTGTGTGCACTTGGAGGTGGCATCTGTGGTGCATTTATTTCTGTGTCTCTGGCTTCTGGCTGAGGACCTGGCCTGGGGCACACACTCAGGTGAGGGTTTGCTGATCATAGACAAGGCATTTTGGCAGTCAGAGTTCCTCCAGTTGGAACTGGCGTGGAGAGTGGAAAGACTTGATCGTTAAAGTTAGACCCATTTTACCCTAATGTTTTGATCTTTGGACAAGTTACTTTACCTCTCTGAGTCTGGACGTCTCTTTTTTAGGGGAATAATACCCACGTGTTGGGATTTTACCGAGGCACTTAGCGTTGTGCTGGAGCACAAATTGCCTCGACTCATATTCTAGTTCTACTACTAGTTGCCTGTGCAACCTCATGAAAGTTACTTAACCTCTCCGCCTCAATTTCTGCATTTTAAAAATGGAGATAAAAGTACCTTAATAGCATTATTTTGAGGGTTCTTTGAAAGAATACCTACACGGTGCTTAAAACAGTTCCTGCCAAATAATAAATGCTCTATAAATATTAAAACTCCTCTGTACCTCTCCTACTTCGAAAGCAATCAAGATGTCAGGTAGCTGTTATTTCCATACATAACTAACCTGTTGGTTGTTACATAAAAACTGAATTTCTCCAGTATGGACCGATGGTAATTTTTTATGATCAGAGCTGATGGTCCTGCTTGTTGTTAAATATTACATTAATTAAATATATTATTAAATCATTCTTACATTTTTTTAAAGATTTTATTTATTTATTTGACAGAGATCACAAGTAGGCAGAGAAGCAGGCAGAGAGAGGAGGAAGCAGGCTCCCTGCTGAGCAGAGAGCCCGATACGGGCTTGATCCCAGGACCCTGTGGGATCATGACCTGAGCTGAAGGCACAGGCTTTAACCCACTGAGCCACCTAGGCGCCCCATTCTTACATATTTTGTATAACTGTAAAATTTGTTAAGTATATATTAAATATATTTTCAGATCCAACTACCATGTGGCAAACATTTATTATATACCAAAGGACTCTGCCAGGCACTTTAAAAACGTAATCTTTTTTAACCTTAGTAAAGCATGTGTGAGGTAAATATTACACCTGTTTTGTGGCTAAGGAAACTGAGGCTCAGAGGAGTTAAAAATTTGCCTGTTTACATTTGAAAAAAAAGAATCATACTTCACAAAAACAAATTCAAGATGGTTAAAGACCCAAATATAACTCAGTCTATAAAAACATTAAAAGAAAATATAGAAAATTATCTTTATGGCTTTTGGCTAGGTCAAGTCCTGAACATGGAATGGAAAATGAATGCCATAAAGGAAAAAATATATATACATTTAACTTCATTAAAAAGAAACTTCTTATGATACAATGATGCAAATTGAAATGAAAAGACTGGGGAAAATATTTGCATGTTACATAACAAAAAGTTGGTATACTATCTAAAGAACGTCCTTTGAAACAAACACAGGACCAACTGCCTCGTTGCAATGTGGATAAGGAATAAGGATTGGCGAGCAATCAAGGAGGAAGACGTCAATATACGAGAGGGTGTTTACTCTGTTATTATTCAGGGAAATACAGATTTCCAAAAAATTGAGCCCTCATGTTGGCGAAAATTAAAGAGACTGATAGTGACAAGGGTTGGGGAGGCCCTGAGGGAGCATTTTCACACACTGCTGGTGGGAACTGTAAGTTGATACTACTTTGTAGGGTAATTTAGCATTATCCATTAGTAGTTGAATTGTGTGTTACAGGTTTCAAAATCTATCCCAAAGATCCTATGTATGTGCATAATGGGGCCGTTCTAGGGAATGCTTTCACAGCATTATTTGTAATTGGTGTTGTGATATTGTGATATGATAAGAAATACATATTTTGGTCTTCATCTCTAGTTCCTGGTGTAGAGCTCCTGAAACCCCTGTAATGTCCTAAAGGATAAGAATGATAGGAACATCCTTTGTGACACTTGGTTTCTGTCCCCTGCTCCTGAAATAGCTCTGGCACATCAAGGTGAAAGGAACATCTTTTGTTATTCTTACAAGATCAGCCAAACCTGAGTTTATGTTAATGAGATGATTTTTGGAAACTCACTAAGGATGGGGGGCAGGGCGCTGGTCGCCAGGGGAACCATCCACATGATTATAAGATTGGCACTTTCAGCCCCTACTCCCCAGTCTCTGGGGAGTTGGCCGGGACCAGAGATTGAGTTCAATCACCAGTGGCTAATGATTTTATCAATCATGCCTGTAGAACCTCCCTAAAAACCCTAAACAATGGAATTTGGAGGGCTTTTGGTTTGGTGAACAGATCAAGGGGCTGGGAGGGTGGCACTCCCAGAGAAGGCACCGAAACTCCACGCCTCATCCCCCCACGTCCCACGCACTGCCCTGTGCCTCTCTTCCTTATCCCTCAGTGTCTCCTTGATAGTTAATGGAGAATAGAAGTAAAGCACTTCCCTGAGTTCTGTGAGCTGTGGTAGCAAATGATCAAGGCTGAGGAAGAGGTCACGAGAACCCCTGACTTACGGCCAGTTGTCCAGAAGTATTGGTGACCATCTGGGACTTGCAATTGGTGCCTGAAGTAGGGGACAGTCTTATGGGACTGAGCCCTAACCTTGGGGTCTGTGCTGACTCCAGGAAATTAATGTCCCAACTGAGTTAGTATCAACTGAGAATTAGAAAATTGCTTGGTGTGGAAAATGCACGCATGAGGTGTCCGAAGTGTTGCAAGCACAGAAATTGTGGAGGAAAACAGGAAGTGTTTCTTTTAGATGTGAACGACCTAAATATACTTCAGAGGTTTAGATAAATTAAGTTATGCATAGTAGAAGAGAAAAAGAGGTAGGTCTGTAGGTACTAATGTGGGACTAAGTCCCACAATATATTGTTGAAGGAAAAAAATAAAGATGAAAAAGACATGTCTGCAATGAAACCCGTTTGTATTTTTATTTTTGTTTTAAAGTCCATACGCAACCATACCATGCATTTTCTCCAGGTTCATATACAGGCATAAAAAGAGGTTTGAAAGGATAAGCACCCAATATTTAACAGGGATTACCCCTGGAGAGGGGGAAGAAGGCACCGAAATCGAAAGTAGGTGTCAGATGGGTCTTTAACCATGTTGGTAATCACATTTAGAAGGAAAATATAATGAAAAATTCATTTAAAAAGGGCAAAAAGCATGTTCAAAGTCACACAGATGAAGAGAAACAGAGTTTAACTAAGTGGTCTATCATAACCAAGCCAACAAAGGGAAGAAGGGGTTTTTTTCCCCCTGCTGCCTTCAGATTATCCTTGTAGGTCATTAGAAACATAATTTAAGAGGAAGGTACAATGTTTACATTGACTTGAAGGCTGGCAGTCATTTAGAAATTGATTCTTCCTTAGTTATGTATTCCTTTGTCTCTATCCTGCATTTTAGCTCAGCCTTTTAAAATAAATGTCAGCCTTCTCTGTTCAATTTTCTGTTTTGTCAGCATATCATGAGCTCATGTTCTGCTTTCCTAACAGAGTACAGTGCAAGGCTCCTGCTTTTATTGTCAATGAAACCTTTGTCTATAGGATTCCTTTGGCCTCAGCTGGTGGTCAGCTTCTTTCAACTTATTAATGCAGAAGGCTGAATGTTGAGTGTTATGCTCCCTTTGAAGAGTGGCCAGCACTTTTTAGGTCTGGATTTTTAGTTTTATGCATAATTAGAAGCCTGGACCCTGCAATGGGCTGTATCATGGAATTTCCTGAAGGACTCTAAGTGGGAATTTTAAAAAATGAATCAAATGAATCTCCTGGCCTCTCCTTGAAATGTGGCATTATGACACGAGCTGTAAGTTCCTTTGTTGAACTTTTAGCATAGAATGTATTGCATATAGGACAAGAGTGCCTCGAACTCTTAAAAGGGACAGGATCAGGCATGACCTGGAGATCAGACCACCAGTGTGCTCGTGGAGTTGTGTTCGGACCGTAAGGACTTTCTGGAGAGTACACTTGACAACTGTTGATGATGCTGGGTACATTTTAGAAGTCGCTTTGAAGTCCTCACAGTGTTCCTGAACTTTTTTATCCTCTTTATGCCCTGAGGTGAGTAAGAGCGACAGGAGCCTCTCTTTCTTGCCTAATGATCAAAACACCTTCGAATGATCATCAGGATGGAACTGCTTTGTAATTAGGTCCTTTTCTGTAGCGCCTAGTGCCTTGGAGAAGTTTCAGTGCACCGTTCAGAGAGGAGAAGTGATTCCTACTGTGTTCTCCTGGGCCTTTAGTCCAGCTCGTGAATTTTGAGTAGGTCTTGGCAATGTGGTGTGTAGTTGCCTCTGAAAGACTATGGCAGGAACTTCCCAGTAATGAGGAACCAGGAAGTGTTATCGCGAGTCTTCTAGACTTGCTTCTAAACGACAGGAGTAATACTAATGATTCTTAGTTATGCTTGAAACTGGTTCTCATTGTGAAATAACTGAAGAATTCCAGGCATGCCTTAGGCACCTTATCTTTCAAGATGAAGCTCGTGCCTATATATCAGACCTTATTTTAAACATCTGACCCAGATTATTCAGGGACTTTCTCGTCCTTGTTGCTCTGATTGTTGCACTAAATTCCTTAAATACTCCACACTTGATAGCTGGCTTATCCCAGCCCTGGCCCCCCACCCGCCCTGCTCCTTGCCTCCATTTCTATATGAGCCGCCCTCACGGGGATCCTTTCAGGGAACGTGGCAGCACTGACTCTGTGCTGTTGGCTCTGCTTCAGAAAACTCCTTGATGACGCTTAGATGGTGTTCTCGCAGCACTTGCAGACCTTTGGCCGTTGCAGATGGTAATCTGGCGGACTGCCACCTCACACTCACACTGGTCGGTCACGTGTATTTGTGCAGCTTCCCACTGGGAGAAGCTCACTTGGGCCTAGCTCTGGGCTGGGCCTGTGGGCTGGGAGCTCTGGAGCAGGCCTGTGGCTGCCTGGGTCGCTCTCCTGGATGGCTGGGCTGGACTGCTCCCGAAGGCCAGATAATGTGGAGTAGAGTGGGGCTGGGGCTGAAAAAAAGGGGAGCTAAACCAAGAAGGTGACCTGGGAGTGGGACTGGAAGCAAAGCCTCGTGTTGAGGACAGGGCTAAAGTGCCCAGAGCTGGGTCTGTTTCAGGTGCTTGCCCTTTGGATGTGGGCCAACCGAGCTGAAGCAAAGCAAAACCAAAAATGTAGCAACTGAGTGGCTGATCCCAAATTATCAAGATGGCTTCCTGGGCCCGGAAGTGTGTGTGCAATTTGGGCATCTCTCTGGAGCTTTCCAGGTGATCTGAGGGCCACCTTCAAGCATGTGGTGCATTTCTCTTCCAGAAAACTGGAGTGTGTCATCCCGTGACCGTACAGACGTTCAGTATCATCGTGCCCGGGCTCACTGCTGGGTGATGAGCTTAACAGGACATCAGTGTTTGGGGTGTTCATCTTTGATGACTATCTGTCCTCTGAACTTGATGAGTTGATAGTCTGGCAAGATTCTGAACGAGAACAACTAAACTCTTGAGTCTCCAATTCTAAACAGCCTCGTGACTTTTAAAATCTAGATCCTGGGATTTTAGAACTGGGAGGAGTTTTACTTTTACCTTTTTTGGTGCCCTGCTATAGCGGAGTCACTACTCATTCGTTTGGTCTTTTACCCTTTATTCCACTGAGTATCTGCGAATGTGGCAGACTCCTCTCCACCAGAGGACATACTGAAAAGAGATTAAATATATTAAGCGTTAAGTCTCCTGTGAGGGGCAGATTTGATCGATTTTGATCCCGTCAGTGAACTATCAACACTGAGCTTTTCGGTTAATTCTCTTTAGTCAGAACTTTGGCTTCAGTGAGCACACAGCAGCACAAAGAGCATCGCTGAATCCTTTCTCAGTCCAACTTACAGCAATCTGATGCCCTTTTTGACTTGCTGTCTTTAACGAGTGAATTTTTATTTTCTTCTAGACTCCTAGGTTCTAGTTGGACTGCATATTCTCAATGAAGCGAGTCTTCTTTTATGCTAGAGCTTTCTTGAAATGCAAATAAATATAAATTCACTTTGCCTTCAAGTAGTCTGTGTTTGACTTAACTAGAATGATTTAACCGTGCTTTGATTCTTCTCTTCTTTCACATAACCATTCTGTTTGATTGTATTTGATCAAAATAATTAACTCCTTTTTTCATTTCCTTTAGAACAAAAGAATTGGAGAGTAAATTATTTTTTTCAAATCAGAACACAAGCAGGAAATTCTAGAATGAAGATCACTGTGCTCCCATGAACTTTACTATAGTTGAAGCAAATCTTTTTTTTTTTTTTAAACAAAACGGGCTTTTATGAAACTGCTAATAATTGTAACTTTGTTCAGTATTACATATTTCTTAAAATATGAGTGCTTTCCAAATACCACAAATATTTTAAATCATTTTATCCTTAAGAGCTTTTTTTAGGAGCTCCTGGGTGGCTCAATTAAGCATCTGCCTTTGGCTCAGGGTCCTAGGATGGAGCCCCACATCCAGCTCCTTGCTCAGCAGGAAAGCCTGTTTCTCCCTCTTCCTCTGCCTGCTGCTTCCCCTGCTTATGCTCTCTTTCTCTCTGTCAAATAAATAAAATCTTAAAAAAAAATTTTTTTTCTCATTTTTTTCAAATCCAGTCAGTGGTTAATTCTAAAAGCAACTCAAACTCAGAGATTATAACCTTTGAGATTATTCCTCCTTCAAGCTTGCTAAACTTAAAAAAAAAAAATCAGAGTTGGCTCTTTCCTGGTAGTTTAGGACTTGGCAAAAAAAAGGAAACTGCAGGCAGTTACTTGAACTGAATTTGAAACCACAGTTTAGAACTTGAACTCTTTAACAAAGTGTGGAATAGCAGCAGAACCATCCAGCTTACAGGTTTTTTTGCTTTGTGTGCATAGAAAGTTCCCCACCTCATTTTCTCTTTGGTCTACTGACCATTTTTATCCAATGGATAAATTCCAAATATCCTAAAATCTTCTACGGGATTTATTTAACCCATGAGGTTGGATCTTTGCTAGTTTACACGCCAGAGTGTTTTGGCATCTGGTTGCATCTGTCCCCAAGAAATGGTTAGCTTAGAGGACTTCTGAGAATTGCTGACAAGGGTGTGGGGCCGAGCAGCGATCAAAGCCAGCAGGAAGAGATTTTGTTAAATCCTGACTGTTCTCTGCGTGACCAGGGTAGTTGAGGGATTTAGCAGTCCTACCCACTGAAAGAAGAAATGTGTTCATAAGGAGGGCAAAAAATTTAATTGAAAGAGAAGGGAGGAAAAGGGGGTTGTGGAGGAAGACAAACAGGAAAGGACCTATTTGTTCAGACAAATGGGGTGGGGGAGAGTCAGCAGTGTAGACAAGGCCTTAGTAGTCCCTGGAGATGTTAACTTCCACTTTGAAGTTGAGTTCCCACCCTCTCTGTCCTATTCCTTTTTCCCCCAGTCCCCCACCCCTCTAATTTTTCAACCAACTTCCTGTTTTCTGGGCTCTACTCTGCGGCCCACAGTGGGGCTGTCCTCCCCATAATAGGTCATTGTCCCAGGCAGATGCAGCCCTGCCATGGATGCCCAGCCTTTCTGGCGGCTCTGCCTGCCCCTCACCAAGGGAGGACAGAGGGCCTTTCTCCCGGCATGCTTCACGACATGCCGAGCCGGCCCACCCTGGCTCTTCTTCCACGTTGTGTGAATGCCTTTCTCTTCATGACTTAGGAATACACGATCGCTTGACCATTTCTTGTTCAAATGTTCTCTTGCCCACAGGGAAAGGGATGACTTAATGTCTGCGCTGGTCTCTGTCAGGAGCAGCTTGTCAGATATGCAGCAGAGAGAAGCCAGGGCTTATGAGCAGGTGAAACAAGCTATGCACATGACCGAGGAGGCCAACTTCGAGAAAACCAAGGCAAGTCTCAGAAGACCAAAATGACGGCACGCCGAAGCGCGCCTTCTTTTCTTTTCCTTCTTTTCTTTTCTTTTCTTTTCTTTTTCTTTCCTTCTTTTCTTTTCCAAGTATTTCCATGGTTCCTCTTCCATGACTAAACTCTTTCTTCCGAACACACAGAGTGAATACCAATCTGTTAATGTTGACTTTGCAAAATGAAACAGATTTACTGGTTGAAGTCTCCTTTGGAGAGGCTTACGTGCCTCATCTCTTCATTTGCTGATGATTTTGAATGCTGTGAAAACCTGACACCATGCGTATGGGTCCGTGTGTGACGGCCGACAAAAGTTTTCCCCCCTGAGCCTGGGGAATGTTGAGAACATCCAGGCACGCCACAGATAACAGATGATGCATGTGTATCAGACAGCATCCTTGGCTATGAATGGGTCTGGCCCTGTGGATGCTAAGTCATACACGCTGAACAATAACGACGGTAATCAGTAGCACTTTGTGACCAGGCGGTGTGGCGAGCACTGAATGGTAGGAGGTTCTTGTTGATTCATTGCTGTGTTGGGGGCTGCACCAGAGTCCACTGACTGAGGCTGCTGTGCGTTTCCCGTAGACACACCAGCCACACTCCCAAGTAGCTGATCGCTGTACAGGGCAGTGCGGATGTAGAACATTTCTGTTGTCACAGATTCCATCAGATAGCTTTGGTCTACGCCGTATGGTAGCATCAGTATTTATTAAGGTATCGGGCTCTTGACCCCTGTATTCAGCTCCTCAGTCACTCTCTTGTCCATTGGTCTCTACCCAGTTCCTCCCTGACTCTTCCCAGACCCCGACCTTCACGGCTTCCATGACTGTTGTCCTGGTGCATCTGTAACTTAGGTCCATTCTGACCAAACTCCCTCATAGGCTTTGTCTCCTCAGACACTCCTGGTTGTTCATTTGTGCAGAACTCTTGTCCCTCTATGACACTGGGACTCTCGAGCCCTCCAGTGAAGGCCCTTTGCTCTCACGTCATCTCAAACAGCTGCGATGGAGGAATCAGCATTCCCTCCACTCCTGACTGCCAGTTCCAGGCCTTCCTTCTATCCTCTCTGTTAGTGACCAGGCCTCTTTAAAATCGTCATGGTCTCTCCTCTCCCTAATTTTAATCAATATAAACTCTCAATCATTATTTGTCACAGTGTCACTATTTGACACTGTTTTTTTTTTTTTTTTTTAAAGAAACTCACCCATGTTATTACTTGGGTTTATGAAATAGTTCTGGGTTTATGAAATAGCAATTTGACACTTTTTAAGAACATTAGTGTCTGACCCTTTCCCCACTCGTCATCGTCTGCTCAGGCTACTGTAACAAAAATGCCATAGCCTGATTGGCTTCAACAGCAGACATTTATTTCTCTCAGTGCCGGGGTTGGGGAGTCCAGGATGAAGGCACCAGCAGAGCTGGTGTCTGGTGAGGGCATGCTTTCTGGTTCACAGATGGCCATCTTCTTCCTGTGTAGCCTTACATGGCCGAGGGGGTGTGGGAGCTCTCTGGGACTCTTTTATAAAAGGCACTAATCCTACTCATGAGGACTCCATCCTAAGGATCTAATCACCTCCCAGAAGCCACATACCTGCATACCATCGCATTGGGGCTTAGGTTTCAACACATGAATTTTGGAGGGGTACGTTCAGTCCATACCGCCCTCTGCCTACCTCCTTTGATCACCCTGAAACGTTTCTACATCATATTGTTAATCACGCAACACCATAGTCCCAACATCCTTTGGCTTGCTTACCTCTAACATGTCCCCTCTTCTATGGTAACTGTCACCTGAACTGTCGTGTCCAAGGCATGTGAGACTCTGCATCTGCTCCTTCTGACCAGCACTTCTCTCTGCCTCCCTATTGCCATTAAACGTCTCAGTGTCCTCATTCCTGCGTCTGCTTCTGCAGTCTCCTCCCCTGTCTTACCTGTTGTGTCCAGGCTGGTCTTCTTCCCCTTCCATCCATCCATCCATCCATTCATCCATCCATCCATCCATCTGTCCGTCCGTCCATCCATTCATCCATCCATCGGTCCATCCATCCATCCATCCACCCACCCATCCATCCATCCATCCACCCATCCATCCATCCATCCATCCATCCATCCATCCATCCATCCTTTGTCTTTGATTTTCTGCAGTTTGACTATGATCTAGTATAGATTTTTTTGGTTTATTTTATAGTGCTTGGTGTTCTCTGGGCTTCCTGGGTCTGTGGTTTGGTGGTTATGATTTTGGAAAATTCTCAGTCCTTATTGCTTCAAATATTCCTTCTTGTCCTTTCTCTTTTTGTCACCTTTTATAATTGTCCCACATTTCTTAGATATTCTGTTCTTTTTCATTCTTTTTTCTCCTTGCATTTTAGTTTGGGAAATTTCTATTGGCAGTTCTTTAAGTCCCTGATTCTTTTCTTGGTTGTGTCAGTCTATTCATGAGCCCATCAAAGGCATTCATCATTTTTATTATGGTGCTTTTCATTTCCAGCACTTTGAATCTTTCTTAAAGTTTCCATTTCTGCTTATATTTCCTGTCGGTCCTTTTGTGCGGTCCACTTTTTCATTAGATGTTTTAACATATTAATTATAATTACTTTAAACTCCCAATCTGATAATTCTAGCATTGCTGCCATATTCAAGTCTGGTTCTGTGCTTGCTTTGTCTCTTTAAACTGTGCTTTAAGTCTTTTAGTGTGCTTTCTAATTTTGTGCTGAATGCTGGCCACGAGGTGGTGGGTAAAAGAAACTGTTTAGTGTGTGATACTATGTTTATTGTGGTAGAACTTAGGCTGTGTTTACTGTTTGGTGTTACTGCAGTTGTCAGAGGCTAAATTTCCTTTAGTGCCTGCTTTATGTCTCCCCCCCGGTGGTGGGTGTGGGAGTAGGGGAAGCATTTTATAGTCCTATGACTAGGTCTCAGTCTTTTAGGGAGCCTGTGCCGGTTAACTTTGACCTTCACAATTGCTTCTCAGTCACCCTGTCACGGGAAGTGAGGTGGGAAGGCCGCAGGGAGCTGGAATTGGGTATTTCCCTTCCCTTCCCTTCCCTTCCTGAAGGCAGAGCAGCTATGTCGTGAAAAACCCCAGCTATTTAGGCTCTGGTAAAATATTTTCTCTTGAGGCAGGCCTTTTTAAGAACAGAAATGCTTTGGGCATTTTTAAATGCTCAAAGAGGAAATGCCCAAGAGGAAGCTTGAAGGGATTTTTCTCTAGTCTTTGCTGTAAGAACCTGGTAGTATCCCTAGAGATAAAACTCACAGAAGTGTAGGAAGCCCCTTAAGATGGTCCTTCTGGAGTATTTAACCCTCAAACTTGTCAACCCTGAGCTTCCAATTACATTTTACCTTTTCCTTGCCAGCACTAGTTCCCCTGGCTGCTCGGGTAGGTTGTGATTCTCAGGAACACCTGCCTGTCTCTCCAGTTTGGGGGATGGCACTTTTCCCTGTGACCTCAGTTCTCTTACGGATTTAAGAAGAGTGGTTGTGGGACACCTGGGCGGCTTAGTCGGTTAAGCCACTGCCTTTGGCTGAGGTCATGATTCCAGGGTCCTGGGATCGAGCCCTACGTGGGACTCCTTGCTCAGTGGGGAGCCTGCTTCTCTCTCTGCCTCTGCCTGCCACTCTGCCTGCTTGTGCTACTCTCTCTCTCTCTCTCTGACAAATAAATAAATAAATAAATACAATCTTTAAAAAAAAAAAACAACAAAAAAGAAGGGTGGTTTATTTTTTGGTGTGTTCAGCTTTTCTCTTGCGAATGATGTCTTCCAAGCTCATTAGATTCCACTCCCAAAATTGGAAGCCTGCGATATTTTTTTTTAAAATAAAGTTTTCAATTATAGACTTGAGTTTTGGCTTTTTTCTGGATAAAATGATTGAAATGGAACTTGCATATATTGCTTAATCGTTTTTCATTACACTGGTAATGAAGTATTGTGCCATCAATGTATTGATTTTTTTTTTACCTTTTTTCAGAGAGTGAGATGCCGTTCGATAGCTATTCTAATTGTTATGTATTATAATCCCTTATCTGATGCTTGCAAAGCCAGGAAAGCACTCTTTTAGAACTCTCCACTAACTGTCTCAGTCATAATTTCCTTCCATCTGGCTACCAGTTGTGGATAAATACTCTGTTTCCATGCCTGTCTCAGAATCCTCTGTTGTCCCTTTAACCCTCTGTTAGGTTCATCAAGTTGTTGGCATTTGAGCAGGAATAATAATATATCTCACTTTATTGTTTAAAAGTCTATGTTATTCGGGGTGCCTGGGTGGCTCAGTGGGTTGGTCCTCTGCCTTTGGCTCTGGTCATGATCCCAGGACCTTGGGACCATGACCTGAGCTGAAGGCAGAGGCTTAACCCACTGAGCCACCCAGGCGCCCCAAGTCTACCTTATTCTTAAAAGTCTTTTAGATAACCCCTTTAATTAAGTCTTTCCAGTAGCCTACCAAAAAAACTGTCATAACCACACATGTCTGTGATGTGGCCATTAGCAGACTTTTTACTATATTCCCCAGTCTTCTTTTTGTTTGTTAGCTCATGTTTGAGTTGCTTTATTTGTCTAACTGTAATTACAATATTTCAGAAAGTGGATGGAGAGCGTGTTTCCCGTGCTTTGTATCATGTTGGATCACGTAGTAATCAGCGATTAAACTGCTTCAAAATGCTTAATGTAGTTGGTATTTTTGTTTCCGCTTTTACAGGAGGAACTCTCTGGAATGAAAAATAGGGTTCAAGTAGTTGTGCTTGAAAATGAAAGGCTCCAACAAGAGCTGAAATCTCAGAGACAACAGGAAGCAATGAGGGAACAAACACTTCTGGATGCATCTGTGAGCACTTTTTTTCAAACCATAAATTATATTTTAGTTTGAATGTTCCATCCTACCCTCTCCCCCAGCCTTCCAAACTGCTGAAATTCTTGACTTGACGTTTGGCAAATGAACTGTGCTGTGACTCACTTGGGGCCTCGGAAGTTAAATTCACATGGTGGAG